CTCCTGTGAAAATCCTGTGATCCTATAAGAAAGCACAAAAGCTCCTTTCTCTCATTAAACCGACAGATGTGTTGACAGATGTAAAGACATCAGAAACAGGTGGCCGAACTGGTGTCCAAACTGCCTATTGAAGGAGTCATTAAAACAACAACAAATATTTAATGAGATTATATTAAATTTATCTAATCTTAAATGTAATAAACCTGAAACTCAAAAGGCCAAAATGTAAAGAAATTTCAAGTATTAATCACTTTTTATTTTCTATGTAGGGACAATTTTGATGCCTCCTTACCTAGCCTGAACACAATGTAATGTACAATTTTACAATTTCTAAAACGTTCAAGACCAACTTTAAACTATAATCTCATTATTATCTCATTACATCTACATCTGCCAGCATGAATTGAACTGCTTTAGCAAACATATCTACATAAGTGAAGTTTATTCATAACTAATTTCGAGAGGATCACGTGCTTATGATTTATCACGTCCAGTCTCGCATTTGCTAATCACTAATCTTCCAATCATATGAGCCCTAAGGCACCATAAATAGTCTAAGTTTTCAGTTCACTTTATCTTCGTTTGGAAGAAACCCCCCTCCTCCCCTATTCTCCTCCTTTACCTGTAATTGGGTGGCACGGCGGTCCAGTGGTTAGCACTGTGAACCACACAGCAAGAATACTGCCGGTCCTAGTTCGATAGGACCGGTGAGTGTTTCTGTGGGGAGTTTGTATGTCCTTCCCGTGTCCGCGTGGGTTTTCCCCGGGCTCTCCGGTTTCCTCCCACCATCCAAAGACATTCAACATACTTAACAATCAAGCTGGTCTAATTCCTTACGTTCCCTTAGCTACAGCGGCAGGGGAGTTCTGAGATCCACCGAGCTCAGGCTCCCTTCTTGCTCTGCCAACGGGAGGAAGCCCCGGGCTCGAGGAGCCCTTGAGCTCGGGGCTCTCTCCCGGGACAGCATGCCAAATAAGCTTTGTAAATCATCAGCTAAGTGTGAACTCTTGAATTATTATCAGATGTTTTTTAAACTGCTGTCCGCTGACTGCTGTCATTTTTGTTGTATGTTTATTTTATGATTGAGTCTAGAGCACTGCACATATTTACACATTCATCAAAATGTGCAAGACATGAAAAATATGTAATGTGTGAAATAGTAAGTGCAGTATGCCTTTTGAGTAAGATGTTTAATCTGTATATTATCATTTAGAGCAGAGAAGGCCATACTAGAGCCTGTGGGCCAGAGTTGGCCCATTATAACCTTTTGGCCCATTATAACCCTTTTGGGGTTAATGGTTTTACTAAACATTGTCCTTTCTAATTAAACACAACCTTCCATTTATTAGTTTTATTTTTAAGCTACAAAAAAACTTGATTTAAATGTTACAATTCAATGTTGTAAATTAATCCTTTTTTTCCAGAGGATAGAGCACAATTCTGAAGCCCTCAGTGAGCAAATCTAAGTAGGTGCAGCTTGATAAATAATAAAGCTTGATATATTTACCTTCGGTCCTGGCCCTAAATCTAAAACTCTTTTTTTTTTGCCCTTTATAAGAAAAAGTTTGGGCACACTTGATTTAGACTATTTATTTTCATGCAATGATAAGTAAGTAAATATAAAATATTCCATAATATTTGGGAAAAAAAAAATGTACAGTTGAAGTCAGAATGATTAGCCCTGCTGTATATATTTTTCCCTCAAATTTTATTTAACGGAAAGAAGATTCAACACAATTCTAAAGATGATAGTTCAAATAATTTCTAATGACAGATTTATTTTATCTTCACCATGATGACAGTACATAATATTTTACTAGATATTTTTTTAAGGATGCAACGTTTCTCAGTAAAAAACCTATTGTCCCGTTGTCCTCCCATGGTTCGGTGTACCCTGTGATCCGCTGTTCAAAATATGCATTATTAATATCTATTTGTTAATAAAATCCAACAGCAAAAACAACTGCAACAAAGCATTTCCTCCTTTGTACGCCTCCGATTACCTTTCACGCTCATTTCACATGGAAAGACCTGTCTAATAATCACCTCTTAATAATTAAATCTGTTGACATCACGTTTCCTCACGTGTCAGTGTGTGTGTGGAGTTTCTGTGGGTTTTAGCATGGCAAGTGAAGGAGATACAGCACAAATGCAGGTGAGATCAAACCACAATGCATTGCACTCAGGGTTTTAACAGACACAAAAAACATAACAAATGCCTTTTTTGTTGTTGTTGCAAAGATAGCCTAGATCAGTGATCACTAACAGCCAGATCGAGGTTTGTGTCCAGACCCAGAAGCGCCCCATATGGACCCGGACATACAGCAGGTCTGTTTCTTCTGCTGGGTGTTCTTCCTCACCCAATCACTCCCGCTATTCACTCCATTTACCCGCTGTCTGCTAAGAACAGTTTTCTTCTCGACTGACTGTTCCCGCTGAATTAAGAGAGAAGAGCCGAACACTCTCTCTTTGCTTAAGGTTCATTCACAATGATGGTGCTAATAAATGAAACAGAGCTCTCTTGAATCATAATAAAATCATATAGAAATCATAAATAAAAATGCGTTGTTGCCTTGGTAATGCACGCATAACGTAAACAGAAGTAATCAATACTTTAAAAGTGCTCAATTATTAAGATGTGTTGACATAACTATTATCTGCATAATTTGTCGAGACTGTTGAGTCGAGATGTAAAAAAGAAAAAGGGTAAATTTATGCGATTTCTCTTTTTTTAAGCATTTTATTAGCACATACAATTTTCAAAATGCCCCACTTTTATTTAATTATGCGAAAACATGCAAATCCATAAGTGTGTGTGTGAAGCTGTTGCATTATCAGGTGTTTGTTAACCAATAAATATTTTTATTGTTCTTTAAATTATTCTGTAGGCATTTTTTTCTAAGCACAAACCTTACCGTATATACCGAAACCGTGACCTTAAAACCGTGATACATACCGAACCGTGAGTAGATTGAACCATTGCACCCCTACTATTTTTTAAGATACTGATATTCAGCTTAAAGTGCAATCAAAAGGTTTTACTAGGTTAATTAGACAGGTTAGGCAAGTCATTGTACCACAGTGGGTTTGTTCTATAGACAATTGAAAAAAATATTGCTTAAGAGGGCTAATAATATTGAACCTAAAATGGTTAAGAAAATGAAAAACTGCTTTTATCCAAGTCAAAATAAAACAAATAAGACTTTCTCCACAAGATAAAAATATTATAGGAAATACTGTGAAAATGTCCTTGCTCTGTTAAACATCACTTAGAAATATTTAAAAAAGAAAAGAAAAAACAATCACAAGAGGGCTTCTACTGTATGTATTAATATCTGATGTGAGTGTTAATTATTCTTAAAAACAGTGTGGGTGCCCTTAATTTGCATAATCTGGTTCTCAGTAACAAAATAGCTAAAAAATCTAATAGTACACATCAAACTTTATATGTAGGGATTAAAGCTAAGCTGATTTAATTTTTATATACCGTATCACCATCAGTTTTAACAGCTGAAAAGTCCATGTCAGTAACACACTCAGGTCTAACAGCCCTCAGAGGATTTGGTTGCTCTGACTGGATCAATTTAACAAGCATCTAATCAATACAACCTAATGACTGTGTCAGTATTGTGGATCCACTCAGAGGATCTGCAGCAGAAACCCAAATGTGACTCAGTCTGGCCTTTGGGGCTGAAGGTTGACAGTGGAATAGTTGACTTCAATCCACACAGAAAATGAAATATATCTTATTAACTTTCGGCCTCTGCTCAACATGAAATATTAAGGCTGCACGATATTGGAATAATCTGGCATTGCAATATTTTGTTTTGCTTTGATATGGATGTCATTTCACAAGATGAGTTGAATAGATCTATTTGGAAATATTCAAATCATTTGGATTGACTAGGATAATCAAGTCTTTTTCTATGCAGTGGATCTACATAAATCATAATAAATTACAAGCAAAAAATAAATGAATAAACAGTGCTTCATGTTTTTTTTTTCTGTAGAGTCTAACAGTATTTAAACAGATATTGAACAATCAAATGTAAAATTACATGATAGCCATGCAATATTCTGCAATATGAGAACTCGTATAGCCTCCTCACCCTTGTGTATTACTCCGCCCACATAGAGTGACGGCAGATTAATAAACTCGCATGTATGTATGTATGGATGTATATATTTTGTGTTGGCCACTCTTTGTATAACCCCGAGTTACTTTTTAGTTGGTCATCTGTTTGTTTCTACTGTGTCTCCTGTTTTCAATACTGCTGACTAGTCCAGTAAAAAGAAAGAAAGAACAAATGCCTGCATGTGTTTAACGTTTTTCCTTATCGCAAACACAACAGTAATCTGGTAGTGCATACGCTGCTTTGGCTTTTTCTGGGTTAATTATTTTGATCTCCCGATTGCAACAGAGAAATACTGGGAAATCTCTGTAGACTGATGGCATTTCATGCCGTTCAGCCTTATAATCTTAAAGTTTCAGCAAAATCAGCTGTTTTGTCATCACTTTAGACATTACACTAGAGATTAATTTAAACACTAGCTCTAAAGTGACGTTGGAGAAGTAGTATTGTAATGTGTGTATTTGCATTAGTCACATCACATTATTCAATTATTTATTAAAGATATATATATTTATTTATTTAATAAATAATTGAATAATGTGATGTGACTATTGCAAATACACACATTGCGATATGGATGCTCTATATTGTTCAGCTTAACAAATGATCATATTATATGGTTTTGAGGACAGCTCATAATTAATTAATAGTTTTATTGGACTGTTGAAGAAAAAAAAAGCACTGAATTAAACATAAGCTCAAATATTCAGCAAAATTTCTCCTTTTGTGGAACCTTTCAGTGTTCAAAGACTTCACAGTAAGCAAATGATGATAGGATTCTCATTGACAAACTCTACTAAACATATTTAAAACACAAATGCTTGCTCTCCCTCTTTAAAAAGAAGGCTTTCTGTTCCCGTCTCTCACCTTCCATGACGTAGACGAGGGAGCCCACATCGCCTTCTTTAATAATACAGCTGTTTTTGTCATAGTCCACTGGATACATACAGTCCACGATCTCCTGGATTTGAGACATTTCCAGATTCTTCATGAAGTCATTGTCCAGGATAGCTGACTTGATCAGATCCTTTGACCTGTACAGTGTGGAGAAAAAAATGATGTTTTTTAAAGCAGTTAAAAAAAGCCGTAATGAAAAAAAATTGAATACTGTACACAGCTCGGTATACACTAGATCAGTGGTGTCAAAGTCAATTCCTGGAGGGCCGGAGCCCTGCAGAGTTTAGTTAAAACCCTGCTTCAACACACCTATCTGTAGGTATCAAACATGCCTGAAGTCAATCAGATCAAATCAAATAAATTCAAATCACTTTTATTGTCACATCATTAGCAGCACGTGTGCTATGATGAGTGAAAAGCTTAGGTGCTGGCTCCAGACAGTACAAAATACAGTGCAAATAAAAATGGCAGTGCAAAATACAGACAGTGCAAAATACAGACAGTGCAAATACAACCACAGTGCAAATACAACAGCATACTCCCCAAAAAATAAAACAGGACAATGTAAAATTGACAACGATATGTACAATTAGTTTGATCAGGTGTGTTTAATTAGGGTAGGAACTACACTATGCAGAGCTGCGGCCCTCTAGGAACTAGCTTTGACACTTGTGCACTAGATCGACTGAAGATCGATGGGTTGGTTCAGGCTTAATTTCTATTAATTTCTATCATTTTGGACGGGGTCGAGCCGGGCTTGCACAGTAAATGAAGTCATGTGATGCATTTCAATTAGCGTGAGAAAGTAATCAAATTATTTGTTACAACATTAAAATCCATCGCTGCAAAGGTGACGAAGAAGTTAAAAAGATCGAGCTTTGACTCCGGTCAGGCCAGCCACCAGTTAAAAAGGAACGGTCGATTCTAGCCGCCAAGGTATTTCAGCGGTCGCTCATACACTGCATATTACAGTAAAGCGCTAAACAGCAATGTATAGAAAGCTGACAGGGAAAATGACTAGGTCACTCGCTACATTGAAACCGCTGTCATGGAAAATGAAATGGATGTTGGCTGGTGGGAGATGAAAAACCCTACCCAAAACTTGCTAAATTAACCAGATCAGTACTATGCATCCCGGCCTGTAGCAGCAGCAGTAGTGAAAGGGTGTAAAGCCATTTATTGGATTTAATAATGTTTCTACACAAATTTATTTGTATTTAATTAGTTAAGACAGACTTATTTTTATTGTTGGCCAATTTAAAGGCTAACTGTATGTAGCTAAGCCTATTTAGGGTGCTGAGATGTTAAGATGTTACAGAGGACTTATTTTATTCCCTTGTTCCAACTTCCAAGCTGCCTATAGCCTACATCTGTTATGAATAACTTATGTTAAAACATGTATAAACGACTCATTCTTGAAAAAAGGCAAAAGGGCTGTGTGCATGTGCACATTTGAATAATGTCAGGCTGTAAACAGGTTCAGGCTTTTAAAAAGCTGTCAATCGAAATGTACTTGTCGAGCTCGGGTCGAATTCTGCTAACTTTTATGGCCCGATTACAGCTCTACAGTGCACTAAATACTGACAACTATTTACAACAAAAAAAAAAGAAAAACAATGAACATTAGTAAACTTCTACATTATTATCAAATGACCTCATAACTATATGGAAATTTCCACTGAGTGGTACAGTTCGGTATAGTATGGTATATGATACGCTTTTTTGTCCATTTTTAAGATATCAAAAAGGCTAATAACCTTTTGGGTACCCTTTCTAAAGGGTATCTAGCATAAATGTCCACTTATTAGATTTAATCTTTACATTTGGCAGGAAAATCAAACTATGAGTAAATAAAAAAGATCATATTTACTGATACTAAAATAGCTGATACCATTATAAATATTACTATGCACAATAATATACACTACAGATATACTAACAGCTGGATGAAAGTATGGTAATCCGAACAAAGCCAATTAGACAATTCAAGAAAAAATCCACATGGAGAGTGTGTTAAGAAAGGATTAAATGAAGAGGTTATTTACAATTAAAATAAACAGACAAAGTCTCTTAGTCTAGCTGTACGTCACAGAAAAAAAGAAAAAAAAGAAAAATATATAATAATAATCAGAACACTGAGAAAATAAGGATTTCAGAGGTTTGTCCTGCACACACACACACATGCACACACAAATAAACAAAGTAACTGAAAGTCAATGTAACCTCCCACACAGGGACTCGGTAATGAACACTGTCTGAATCCCACCTCAGAGCAAGATATTTTCAAAGATTATTCTATGAGATATCAGATATCCCTCAGTTCTTTTTCATAAAAAATATCTCACTAATGTGCAGAGGCTGCCTCGTGAAAAACAGAAACACTAGGGCTCTGGAATAAAACACCTTTGAGCAGCCAAGCAGAACTTCTTTAGAGTGGGATCGATTTGATAAAAAAAAAAAATAGTGGACGGAGCGTTCTGGAAACTTGTTAGGCAAAGTCATTATGTAATTCAGTTCATTATTTATGCAAATCCATTTAGTTCCGCAAATGACATTTAATTACTTAAGTGATGGTGGATGGAAAAACCTGGTTTGATGTGATGGAGTGTGGTCTTTAAATCTCATTATCACTGTTTATATGACACTTCCGAGCACTCCTCAACAAAAAGCCTATCATTTTGACAGCAGCTCCTCTGTTTTTGTGGACCTGGACTTATGCCAGACAGCTGATTTAGTTGCTAAAACCCACAAACGCTCACCTATGAACCACAGCGTGTTTACATTTCACAGACATACTCCATCGTGAGCAGAAACAGAGCTTTTTTTCTTTTTAAAGATGTCTGCAGCACTTTACGAAGAGCTTCTTTCATCTGGCTCAAACACACATAGACAGTCTAAGTATTGACTTTAACTAAAGAAGCAAAAGTCTTCATTTGTTTTTAGTTTAATCTCATTGAAGTTTTAGGACAAACAACTACTGTAAGATCTCCTGCTAACAGTTTATTTCATTGCAACAGCCTGACAGTAAGTGCATACTTAAAATCCGCCGGCGAATAAACAGCAGCCATATCACTTACATGAAGCCATTAAAAACGCCATCAGACCCCAGAAATGTAAACAATGAATGAATTAGTCTGTGCATTTGCATGACATTTGAATGTACAAGATATTTGCATGTCATGTACGCGTTTTGTTATTCAGTTTCACAACAAATATGGGTAATATGTGCCCAGGGCTACATATTTGAGAATAGTGAAATATGTACTCTGGACTACGTCTGCTTGCAGTTTTTGTTTTTACAAACTATTAGTGACTGCCGTGTACATGTTAAGCAATATCAAATACAATACTAGGGCACGTTTTCTCATAAGTGCAATTTCCTGCAAATCTAGCAGGTTCCTCTGTTTACATTTCTGCCTTTCTGGAATGCATCTGTGAGAGAAACTGGTAATATATGCATAATATATCAGCTTGATACCACCTGCCCCTTCTCTAATACCAACCAATAGTGTTTTCAAAAGCAAACTAGAAGACAAAAAGCTACGATATCACACTGCTTTTCTGGAGGGTTTGTTTTATTTGGTTTTAGTTTCACTTTGGTTCCAAGTCTGGCGCCATTATTTGTGAGTTACAGAGCAAAGCAATCACACCTGAAAAGCCATCCATACATTTATTGGTTCTCAAAAATGTAGCCCTGAGCACATTCTCAACGAGACTGTGTTGAATATCTTGCAAATGTTCTCAAATAATATAAAGGTGTTTTTACATTTATTAGATTTAATTTAAACTCTGGTGCAACTGTTTTTTAGCATGGTTCTTTTTAAAAAGAATGAACCTTCTGCAAATCTAATGCATACCAAACAAGCAGACTAAGAGCAAAGAAAAAGAGTTTAACTATTTTTTTAATTTATTCTGCTCCCATTTGACTGAAACATAAATGGCAACATGTAGAGCTTAATTTGTAAATTACGAGGTACCGGATCCGGCATGTTACCAGAAGAGGGAGAGGTAACACGGACGAAAATGAAAAACGGAGGGGGGTTGTGTCGTGGACGAAAGTGAAGAGCGGGGGGGTGGGGCATGGTAGGGGGGTCGCAGATGAAGTGAAGAGGGTTGGGGAGTCGCAGAAGAAAATGAAGAGCAGGCTGACGGGTTGGGGGTGCGTGTAAGGAGTGGGATCTGTAAATTGAGGTGCCGGGTCAGATTTCAGCGGTGCCGGATGCGCTACAAATTACGCCCAGGCAACATATACAAAAAACAAGTAATCAAACTGATAAAATAAAACTTGTCAGAAGATATGACCCCAGCTAACAATTGTATGTTATAACAACATTCCCGTAATGTTTCCATTAAGTTTTAAAAACAGTTTGTTTGAACATTATTAGAATGTCCAAACGTTGTATTGACATTATTGTTTGATTATAAGAACTTTATTTTCTTGTTTGACCAGGACGCCGGGGTTAAACTCCTCTCTTTTTTCCGAAGAACATCCTGGGATTTTTAATGACCACAGATAGTCAAGACCTCGGTTTGTCTCATCCTAAAGACAGCGCTCACTAAGCAGTATAGAGCCCCCGTCTCTAAGTATACTGGGATAATAGGACCCACACAGACCGCAGGTTGGGCGCCCCCTGCTGGCTTCACTATCACCACTTCTGGCAGCAACCTAGCTTTCCTATGTGTTATCCCATCTAGGTACTAACCACTGCTTAGCTTCAGTGGACGACCATTTGAGAGTTGCAGAAAGCTAGCTCCCGGCTTTCAGAACTTTTATTAATCACGAATAACGTTAAGAAAACTTTCTACAGACATTACGCAAAAACGTTTTTAACAACTTTGAGAGAACCTTTAGAGAGCATCAGCCAAACTTATGGAAACTTTACCTGTTAGCTAGGACCATACAATACACAGAATCCAAATGTTTTCTATTGCACTTCTGCTGCATTGTTTTGTAAGTTCTTTAAACTAAAAAGACTCAAACATACATAATTTTTTGCTATTATTTTAAAGTTGGTCACAGAATAGCAGTGTGAACACAAGGTAAACCATGAGCTCTTAAAGCACTAACATGAATTTTCCAGAAAATAAGTATGCTTTGACCCTAAAGTCTGAATAATCCTTTTAAGGTTGGATTACT